AAGACACATAGTATCATCTACTCTACAATTTAATTTTCGGTCCGGTTGGTCTCGCTATTTCCACTTTCTAGCAAATGGCCAGCCAGAATTACTGATAATATATTTCCTGTTTATGATCGTGTTTAACTCTTTCAAATATAATAATAAACTGTTTCGATAAAAAAATGATAAACTAAGACTCAACACTAACATGGCAAAATGTAGTAACATGAATGACAGACCCGCATAGCGAGAATAGAAAACCAAAATAAACTTTAAGACCAAATTATTTAAAAAAATTGTATCGCAAGTTTTAATTTACTTTAGGGTCAGGTTGGTCTCGCTATATCAACTTTTCCTAAAAGCTGATTAAGCAGATCATTACAATCGCTAATCTGTTTTTGGTCGTTTTCTTCCAGTCAATTAAAAATAAATGGTATAAAAGACGTCCTGCAAAGGCACATTGTATCATCTGCTTTATAATTTAATTTTGACTCTGGTTGATCTCGCTAAGTCAACTTTTCGAAAATGGCTTCTCAAGGCTGGCCTGATAACTTTCACCTTGTCAGTTCAAAATACGTGAAATATATGATAATATATCCACAAACTATAAATAATCGCTTGTTTATACACATTTGATGAACCATAACGATCAATGCACGCCTTTTCGAAATAGACTTGACTCATTATATATATGTTTTGGTTGTTTTTACCATGTTAATTAAAAAAAAAAAATACTCGAATGTTTAAGCTTTTTCAAAATGTGTCCTTCAGGAATCAGATGTCTTAAGTGTTTTAAGTCGTCCTACCCACCCTTTTCAGACAACAACGTGACGATTTTTAATAATTGTTGTTTTTCATTGAAGAGTCGGCCAAAGAAGACATGTTTAATACATTTTGCAACATTTGCTACCATTTATAAAAATAATCTCTTGTGTAATTCATACTTTTTCAATTTAAACAAGCCAAAAAATTTAAACAAACAGCAACAATTTTGAATGATACTAATATTTCCTATTTTTCTCTCCATCACGCACTCGAAGAAGACTACACAGCTAAAAAACAGGGGGAAAAGCAAAAAAAATGCACTCTCTGAAGATGGCTCAAGAGAGCCGAAACGGCAGGATATGTTTAAGAAAACTAACCTGTCTTCTTCTTCCCTGCCCGACTTCTGGATGAAAAAGTCCCAAAAGATATTTAAATTATAAGAAACGTTTAAAAACAACAGATTTGTGATAATTAATAATCAATTATTGTTATTATTGTCCGTTTGGTTTACAAAAAACAATTACTTATTGCCGTGTCGAAGAGAATGGCCAATTGGCCCGAGACAACAGTTACTTCCGTATTTCCTCTCAAGAAAATATAATATCAAATGTCAATTAGCTAGGCCCATCTATCATCCTTAATCGAGATGACAAATATTGGACCTTTCGAGGTTGGTTTAATAGGTGTTGGATCTCACCGTAAAAATAGTCTAAATTTAGAATGATCACAGTCAACAACATATTGCATAAATCGATGAAAAATAGTAAATAACAATTCAGTTAAGCACAAATAGGAATCTAATAATTACCAATAATCATAAACTGGTGCCATCAATGTTCTTGATATATTAACAAGTAAATCTATTCGCAACATATCTAGTGTCCTTGTAGTTTGAATTCCTAGTCATTAACATGCTATTAGTATGCTCAGTGTTCTTTTCCTCTCTGCAAACTACTATATTTTCCTATGTGAAGTTCAATGAATATTGGCCTCAACGACCATTACTGATATACTGCGATTTAAAAACCAAATGCTTAATTAATTAGAAAAACACATTTTGACATTTTACTACAACCATCGTTTCAAACCGATTCGGTTTTCTATAGAAAAATTATCGAAGGTTTGAGTTATCTAGAAAAGATCCCAAATTTTCCACCATGGAGTTTTGGCCTATCATTAGAGAAATTGAATCAATGATTTCATACTATTTATAATAATAATTAGATTAGGTAACTCAATTTTTTTATAAACAAGGGATTAACGGATTAATGAACGGCAATAAAAATAAAAAACGATCCAGGATTATCGGATGTAGACGACCCAAAAACAGGTTGGTCGTCCTTCAGACTCAAAATGAAATTTCACAATTTATGTTTTTGATGTTTATACAAGCCTATATGGATCTTAATGTCCAACTGTATGAGAGTGAAAGCGCTATATTTTTAAGCCTAAATTATATACAATTCCAGATAAAATAGTGATAACGAAAAAATCATTATCTTTGTTAATAAATCAAATAAATGAATGAATGATGCATGAGAAAATAAATGATTGAAATAAAAATAGATAAGATTCTTTATAATCATATTATAAACAAAAAAAGTTTGTGTGATAGAATTAAATTAAAATAGCCAAATGAGAACACGATGGTGACGATCCTAGTAAAATAGAAACGTTGTGAAAGTAACCCAATTTATCATTTTGGCTTTATCGGATGCCATTGCAGATCAAGCATATTGACAAGTAATTAACAACAGGCATTAAGAAAATGTGGCTGATTAGGGAAAAAAGTCGTCAATTCTAATTATTGCTGTTAATAAAACCAACAGATCGTGCCTGGAAAAGTGGAAACATACGATAAAACGAGAAGAGTTTCTTTTAATAAAATACAAATATCCCTTACTGTAGACATCGGGTTTTTAATTGAACCAAACGGGAAAAAGCACAATGACTGCTGGCACGAGTACCTGCCAATAGGCTCCAGTCAGCCTTGTGTAAATTTACTCAAGAGGAACACTTAACACCACAATAAAATACAGACCTGCTTTCAATTTTTTTTCTTTATTGATTAAACAAGCTGCTAAAAAGGCATATGTTTGTATGTCGGTTCATTGAGTAATTTTTTACAGCGATCATTTTTCACTTGACTTTTACTAGTTTTAATTGTATTTTATGCAAATTGGAGAAGCAAGAAGTACATATAAGCCAATGATAACATTAGTTTAGCAAATTTTTAACAGCCTTACAAATTACATTAAACAAAGAAATTTATTAAATATGTATGAATGAATGATTGTAACTTTATTTAAAATGTTGAGAGAGAGAGAGAGAGACAATTGAGAGAGAGAGAAAGAGAGAGAGAGAGAGAGAGAGAGAGAGAGAGAGAAAGTGAGTGAGTGAATGAGTGAGAAAGAAAGAAAGAGTGAATGAGTGAGTGTGTGTGAAAGAGAGAGAGTGATGGAGTGAGTGAGATATCAAGAGAGAGAGATATATTGAGTGAGTGAGAGAGGAAGAGAGAGTTAGTGAATGAGAGAGAGTAAGAGAGGAAGAGAGAGTTAGTGAATGAGAGAGAGTGAGTGAGTGATTATGTGTGAGAGAGAGAGAGTGATTGAGTGAGTGAGAGAGCAAAAGAGAGAGAGAGAGAGAGAGAGAGCGTGATTAAGAGAGCAAGAGAGAGTTAGTGAGTGAGTTAGTGAATGGGAGTGAATGAGTGAGTGTGTGTGAACGAGAGAGAGTGATAGAGTGAGTGAGATAGCAAGAGAGAGAGAGAGAGAGAGAGAGTGATTGAGTGAGAGAGGATGAGAGAGTAAGTAAATGAGTGAGTGCTTGTGAAAGAGAGGGAGGGAGAGAGTAAGTGAGTGAATGAGAGAGAGAGAGAGAGAAAGAGAGAGAGAAAGAGAGAGAGAGAGAGATAGAGATTGAGTGAGTGAGATAGCAAGAGAGAATTAGTGAATGAGAGAGAGAGTGAGTGTGTGGAGAGTGATAGAGTGAGGGAGTGAGAATGAGAGGGGTCAAACGAAAGACCAACACTACCTTAGACTATACGAATTTTCGGGAATTTATTTTGTTTTTGTTGTTTTTTCTTAAATATAATTAACTTTATTGTTTTACTAAATTCAACACGTATCTAAAGTTATACAAAAAATATCGATTATGTTTTTATAAACAATTTATCTTTTCATCTATGATGACGATCAAATCGAATTGAACAAAATGTAGGCCCATAAGTTACTACACGTGACTTCAAGGCTATAGGATGACTAGGGTCACATTCACAATTTTTAATGTAAATGAGGGCCAGTCATTATCCCTTGTATTTAATGGATATTATTACTATTTTCAAAATGTTCGAATCCTTAATCCTCAACGACTCCTTGTTACAACAAAACGCTCCCAATTATATCAGAGCTATTATTATTTTTTTCAGCTTTGGTTTTAACGATTTAGTACAAATCTTTGCATTGTTCATTAATCGAGGAGAAATTTCTTTGATACGCAACGTCCTTGCAGTCGCCCGTTAATTAAACTAGGATAGGAACCGATTAAACGATAAAAAAAAACAAAGAAGGCCTAGTAATTTATAACGCATCCCTGAGAAGAAAAAAAATAGGTTAAGATCTCTCTTTTCCATCGATTCCCCAAAGGTCTACCTGAAACCTGCTGCCCACCGACCCTATAGAAACTCCCCACTACATCTTGAAGTCTAGAAACTATTTTACTATTATTCTACTATTCAGAAATAGATGCGAGAAAAGTTGGAAATGTAAACAGATAAAGGCTTAATGTTTTTTTCAATAAATTGTGCATATTTTTCTGTAGCTTTTATTTTATATAAAAAGGTTGATCACTATAGAAAATTCTGTTAAAATTTTAATTATGTAAAATTGCCCCTTAGATGAATATTTTAGAAGGGTTTTTATAATAAAAATCAGTTTAAAAAAGAAAAATAAGATTATTGAATAGTTATTACAATAATAAAAGATAATTGAAAAGGTTCTTGGTGTTTTAAAAAAAAAACATTGACCTCAATACACAATCTTTTAAAATGATTATAATTGCAATAAAAAATATTGAAAAAGTATATGAACAGAAAAAAATTAAATGAGTTAATTTTTTTTTTTGAATCATCATTATATGGCTCAAATGTCAATTATTTTCCTCGATAGGACTTCTTTTGGAGGAGTTATAAGAGGGAATGCGTGTATGCAGACGTTAGGTAAAAAAAAAAAAATAGATGATTTTAATAGACTCACCTATAAATTGCGTTTTACATTATTAAACGGTTAATCTTGACACACAGAAAAAAACAACAACAAACAACTAACAGTCTCCTCCAAATTGAAAATCCAACCCCCCCTTAGAGCGGGTTCGAGGCGAACGATAATCGCGTTCGAGTGGCTCTTTTAAAGGACGTGTCTCTTTCCACAAAAAGGACGAATATGCCCTGACCAAGAGTGGCTTACAGACTGAACAGTCCCTTCGACGTTTAGGTGTCGGTCGGCAAGAGTTGGCAAGGGGGGGATCCCCTTGGCCGACCGATCTGGTGAAATCAGAAATGTTATCTCAAAAATCCCTATGTGTTTTTCTAAATTGTTTTATAATTATATCCGTTTCAAATCGTAGACCTGAGTTGGAGGCGAGGCGAGGGAAGAAAAATATTTATTCGCCCTATGGCAAACAAAAATAATTAATTTTTGATGAACGTTAATTTGTTTTTAACTATTTTGCCATGGGGGATTCAAATAGGTAAGACCTTTTTATAATAAAGATAAAAAATGAAAATCGATCAATCTTTCAACATTTTCAAGACGCTCTATGCCAGGGTTGGAGCTAAAATGCCTGTCAACAGTGACATTAAACCGACCTGTGAGATTTCCTCTTGTGGGGTCTATGGGATGACCCAGTAGTTTGGTTGTTTCCGATCAATCTGAATTCATACTCACGGTTTTTCTCTGCTAAGAAGACGGTGAATATACCTAGATTAAAATGATCAAACTACATACTGCTGTATTGTATTAATCCAATAAATTCTAAGTAGTGAAACTGGTTGGAAAACAACTTCAATATTTCAGCGATGTTCAAACTCGTCTACAATTTTTTAATTTATTTATTTGTAGCCTATTACAAATCACAGTACGGTTTTTTCACTCAGTAGCACTAAGACTAATGCCAGTACTGCACCTGGTGGAGACATGCCATAAGAAACCAGCACTCAGTTGAGGGATTAAGAGGTAAGGAGGTTGTGAGGCCGTCGGTTAAGGCTACGTGGCAGTTTCTCGGGATGGGAATGTGTAGAGTGCTCAAGCAGTATGGCTAGGATGAGAGGTTAGTATGAAACTTTTGGAATCGTGAACGGATCAGTTTCTGTGACAGAAGGAATGTTGAGGTCGTAGGTTAATGACTTAATGAGCTTTGAGATTAGTCAGAGGATTTTTGATTGGAAGGATTGGATGCGCTAGATGTTGGATGCTTGGCAGAACCCAATAGTTCCACTCCTTATGTCCAGAGTGGTCGCAGTAATGTCTTGAGTAAGGTTGGTTTAATGTTGACTGTCAAGACGGATTTCAGTCCTGGACGTTTTCATAGTTGTCCAAGTCTTCTGTTAAGTCGTCGTATATTGAGTAGGGATCCCCGTGCTGGATGTTGGATGGCTTGGCAGAAGCAAACAGTTTCATTCCTTAAGTCCAGAGTGGTCGCAGTAAAGTCTTGTAAATATTGTGTAGGGGAATCCACATTAAATATTTAAGAGACGACAACTTAACAGAAGACTTGGACAACTAAGAAAACTTCTCGGACCGAAATCCGTCTTGACAGTCAACATTAAACTAATCTTACACAAGACTGTTGAATTCTGCCAAGCCATCCAACATCCAGCTCATCCAATCCGTCCAATCAAATATCTTCTGGCACGTCAGGGTGCTTTCTAGGGTTCTAAGTATTTGACTTGAATGGAAGTCGGTATTGTTTTGCTGTTGATGTACAATGAAGGCAAGACTGTTTTAATATAGATAACGGTATAGTCAGGATCTAGAAATATTTGTACTGAAACAGTTGATTGTACTACATATGCTTCCATAATAAGGAAAATTCCGGCAGACGGATTGTGATCCAAGCCTGTACTATGCTTTGCTAATAATCATTGTTATATTCGTAGAAATAAAAAGCATATATAAGTAAATAAAATAATAAGGAAAATTTGGTGGATAGCTTGAATTGGTTGAGAGCTGCAGCATGTTTCTCAAGATATCCAGGGGCAGAGTTGTTGGAGTAAGTACTTAATTATTTATATTTATTTTTGATATTTAAAAAATTAAAACTAGATTAAAAAATATTAAATACGCATTTTTCGGTTTTTCGATAATGTTATCCGTTCAAGAGAAATTGAGCCGGGCCTTCTAAAAAGGACACCCTGTATACTACAAATTTTAAATTACTTGCTGAACCAAAGGATTTTTGAATTTACGTGAATGTTCTTTTGAGCGTTCGTTTGATGTGAACGTATAGGTTTTTGAACAATTCACCAATAATTGTGTTCTAAAATATTGTAAAAGCAGTGTCGTCGTAACATCCTGCTATTTGGTTATGCATTGCGGGCGATTAACGTCACCCGTGATACCAGAATGATGGAATGATAGATAATAGTCAAATTTTAATTGAAATTTCTCTAAAATTTAGGCCTCTTAACATACAATTTCTCGACAGATCTTGTGGACAAGCATGCCCGAGGCCCAGGTTCAAAACATACATTTTAAAATACATATTATTTGTTGGAATTGTGTTCATCAATTTAATTCTTCTTTCTTAAAAAATCCAAGTTTTGATTATCTTGCAGTTACTCGCCTTCTCAAGTACGTGACCACTGATTCCGACGTGTTTGGAGTGAACAACTACCCTGAGCCAAAATACCATTCGTTCTTTTTCTGTCATCTAACAGAGCAAATCGTCACAATTGAGATTTAAAAATGGATTTTTTTTAAATATTGCACTCTAAGAAGGAAAGTTTTTCTGATGAAATATTAATTTTGATAAGCCGCAGCTTGAGAAAAATCGCTTTTTAATTTAGCTGATATTCGGATTTTTTTAGGACGGAAAGCGACTTTACATAAATTTAAACTTTAGATAAACCTTACCCTGAATTTATGTGTTTATGGTGTCTTAGGCCCATCCATGATTTTGCGTAGCAAGGTTTAAGTTATGGTTTTTGTCCGATTTCCAAATTCCAGTATATACATATTGACAGGACAGATGTAAACGAATGTGAAAAATTTATTTTCCGCGCAGCATAGATCGTTCTAATTCTGGACGTTCGGACGTTAGTCTCGCCCCGTTTACATGCATTACCATTGTAAAGCGGTAATCCGTTAAAAACAATCGACGAAATTTCTATTCCGGTTTATTCTGGCTTACATGCCATACAAAACATGAAATAGTTTATGATTTTTCCCTTCGTCAAAAGACAAAAACAAAATTGCAATTATTACACGCTGCAGTAATTATGAGCCTTTTATCATCTAGTCAGAAAAACATCAATATTCTTCCTTTAAACTAGTCCCCCTGCATTAAAAAAAAGAAAAAGGCTTTAATGTTAAAACAGTTTAATTTAAAAAATATTGATGCCAGTATTTTGTCATATTGTCGTCAGTGAGGTGACTGCTGAGAGGTGTCACGCTAGAGGTTCTGGGTTCGAATCGTGGCAGAGTCCATAGCTTTTTGATTATGCCATGAAAAATGTACTGTAAAGTGCCTTGACCCCTGATTCACACCTAATAATTATTTGGACGTTAAGACCTTCTGTATGACAAGAATTACTTTATTTTTTAAATACTGTAGTCATTATAACGAACAATTGTTAATTAAACTTATTAATTTATTAATTTTGAAAGATATGCCAGGCTAAAGCCCGGTATTATCTATGTATAATCTTGTTAACTTTTATTTTTAAAAAAACTTCTACTAGCATATTAACAATTTGTTCAGTTTAAAATTTAAATGACAGCTAAAACGCGAAGATCTTTAAAACGATAATTATGAAACAAAATTTATCAAATATGCTACTTTAAATCTGTTCTATGACACATGGAAACAGGTTTAATATGTTATCTCGTAAACAAATGGAACAAGAATAATTTGAAAAAGGGTCCTACTTAGCCAAGCTGCATTAATATCAAAAATATGTTGCCTTGATTAATCTTGGATCATAAATTATTCCCTAGTTGTCAAAACATAATTTTCCCACTTTCCAACGAGAGAGAATTTAAGAAATGTTGGCAAATTAAACAATTACACGCATAGCTGGTAAATCCTGGAGTAGATCCAAAATAATCCAACTGGTCTTAAACTACGTGCTTAGGTATTAATTTAAATGTAATTCTCGTTATGAGATAAATTTTAAAATATGTATCTTACGATCTGTAAAGCAATATTATTTATAAAATATAAGTAATTAAAATAATTGTGTTCAGACTATTTCCAATTTATAAATACATATTTTTATTAGTATTATTTTTTAATACTACAACACCCTCAATGTTTTTAAAAATTCTATGTTAAGCATACATTTTCTTAGTTAGAAATTACGTTATGGTTACTTTTTACTATTTTACAAATAGAAAGTCGCTCAAATCAATTTTGAATTAAACCTTTTTTTCGTCAGTAAACTTCCTGTTAAAAGTGTATAATGACGCTGCAGTTCAAAAAATTTGCTGATGGCTCAACCATTTTGTCTGTGGTGCAACCAAAACTTCGATTTTTTTGTTTTAATTGGTGGACTCAAAACCGTTACAGCTTTAACACTTTATGACTGTTGTAAGCATTAAAATAAGTTTTAAAAAAAATATAATCAGATCGTGTACCAGTCATGCTGAAATTTGCTGAAGATTTGTTGCCACTGGAGATCGTCGAGCGGTAATGCGCCTGCTTTCAAAACGCAAACCGGAGGTCAATTTTCATCCAACTATTGTAATATTTTGACAATAGGTGATTTTACTTGTTTTATCCCCGAATCATCTTCACATCAGCATGATGTTGCATGGCATAAACGTTCTTAAGCTTGAAATTACAGGATATAGTTATTTTTCGGTATATAACGGTTTATTGTTATAGCTACTTTCAATTAATCACAGTTTATTTTTTCTTAACGTAGTGTTACTAGAAAGTAGAAAAAGTTCACAGATGTATGTTTCATAGAAAACGTTATACTATTTTTCTATTTTCCTATTTTTTCTTTTTCTTTTTCTTAAGGTAGTATTATTAAAAAAGGTAACTTTAAAAAATAACTTTGTAATAGTACTGTTTCATAGATGTATGTTTCATACAAAATGTTCTACTATTTTTCTATTTTTTTTCTTAAGGTAGTATTATTAAAAAAAGGTAACTTTAAAAAATAACTTTGTAATAGTACTATTTCATAGATGTATTTTTCATAGAAAATGTTCTACTATTTTTCTATTTTTTCTTTTTCTTTTTCTTAAGGTAGTA